TTGTTCATCAGCAGTCATCATGTCACCAACATGTTCTCTCTCCCCTCTACCTTTCCACGGTGTGCTCCATCGAAGAGATTCTTGCTCCATGGTAGCAAGATGCCGAGAAGCATAGCCTTCCCCGTTCCAGTTGAAAAGAAGTCAGCTACCTTGATAGTTTCAACAGAGTAGAATGGACTCCTGTCGCCCCTGACGGAGCTGTTTGAGGTCAGATGCCCAACCCTGAACTAATCCTTGTTGCCTGTAGATAAGATGAATTGGTTGCCTCAGGTGTGATCATTGCTGAAGCCATGGAATTGGAACTGAGGTTTTGGCTGTACCCCAGGCCAGGGGCTAAAAGTAGAAATTCCCTCAAAGTACTGTTTGTATCTTAAAAGCAATAAAATGTCCACTGCTGTGACAGAAGAGCCGTGGGACAAATTTGTTCTAATGCTTTACAAAAGAGATTAGGCAGGCGGGCTGGCGTGGGTGGGTAGGTGGGGAGAGATTAACCAAAGAATTTATATGCATATAAACAATGGACACAGAAAAAAGTGTGGTGAAGGCCTGGGGGAAAAGGGAGGGTTATACCCATCCAGGGTGGAGGGGGTCAATGAAAAAAAAGGAGACATCTATAATATTTTCAACAATAAAGATAAATGTTTTTAAAAATAGATTTTTTATTGATTTCAGAGAGGAAGGGAGAGGGAGAGATAGAAACATCAATGATGAGAGAGAATCATGGATGGGGGTCAATGAAAAAAAAGGAGACATCTATAATATTTTCAACAATAAAGATAAATTTTTTAAAAAATAGATTTTTTATTGATTTCAGAGAGGAAGGGAGAGGGAGAGATAGAAACATCAATGATGAGAGAGAATCATGGATGGGCTGCCTCCTGCACGCCCCACACAGGTCGACGTTCAATCACTTTTTAAAAAATATTTTACCTTAAGTAGACTCACTTTTTATAACTTCCTATTTGATCTAAGAAATGAAGTCAATGAAATGATGGTGTGACGTGACAGACATTTCCCCTGCCCATTTCCCATCTGCATTAAAATAAACACACAACTATAAAAACAGTAAGTTCCCGCCTAGGTGGTTTGGCTCAGTGGAGCTTCGGCCTGCGGACTGAAGGGTCCCCGGTTCAATTCTGATCCAGGGCACATGCCCTGGTTGCCAGCTCGATCCCCAGTAGGGGGCGTGCAGGAGGCAGCTGATCGATGTTTCCCTGTCATCGATGTTTCTAAGTATCCCTCTCCCTTCCTCTCTGTAAAAAATAAATACAATATGTTAAAAAACAACAACGAGTAAGTTTCTCCCTGCACCAACAGACCACATTTTGTTTATCAAATGCCCACCACATGATTTCTGAGGTCCTTTGCAACTCAGAGACTATGATTTTGTCTCACTGAGTAGCTCAAAGTTCCTGGAACACATTGTCACAATCCTGATGCGGCCATATACCCTATCCATCCATCATCCATCCATCCATTCATCCATCCATCCATCCATCCATCCACCCACCCACCCACCCACCCACCCATCCACCCATCCATCCAAAACCCTTGTTGAATACCTAGCAATAACTCTCCTAGGCACTGGACACAAAGAAGACTAAACCCCTCCGGATTTTAAGTGGAGGGAAATAGAAAAGTAAATCATTTCAGTATGTGTGGGGAGTGCCACAGCTCAGGTAAGCACCAGCACCCAGAGGAAGTGCGGTTTCCGGAGTTACGACGGAGAGGAGAGGGTGGGTGGGCATTTTCCTGAGCGGCATCCAGCAGCCACCGCACTCCGATGACTTCGGCGCGGCGCGGCAGCGGCTTGCAACTTCAGCTTTCCTTAGCAACCTGAGCGCACCGCCCAGGCGTCTTCCTATTGGTCCTATGGAGCTTGACGGACAGCCTTGCTATGCAATCCCAGCTCTCAACCCTTGGCTCCCCGTAGGCCTCACTGCCCTCCCGGGGTAGCCCGCCCCTCTCGGAGCGCCTGGGAGCGCATGCGCCGGCGGACTCCGGCTGTGCGCAGGGCCAGCGCGGACCAAGCAGCCGCGGAGACTCTCCGCCGAGAGCGCCTTTCTCGCTCCGCGCCTCCGCCGCCGCCGCCGCCTCCAGCCGTCCGTCGGGGGAGCGGCCGCCCATTGTTTCTCTCCGCGGCGAAGGTGCCGAGCTGCCCCGACTCGGTCCGTGGGGGAGCCCCCGGTGCCGCACGGTGAGAGCGCAACTTAGTTGGAGTTGGGGGAAGTTTTGTGATTTGAGGAGGGGTCGGCCCGGAGCGCGGGCCCCTCCCCTGCGGCCGCTGTTGGGCTCGGGAGGGGGAGGGGAGCAGGGCCGCGGGGACGGGGAGGGGGCGCGCGGGCGGGCGGGGATGAATGGGCGGCGGCGGAGCGCCCCCCCTCCCGGCTCCGCGGCCCTCGCCCCCCTCCGCGTCCGACCTCCCGCATTGTCTGCTCGGGTCGCAGCCCAACCTTCGGGGCGGCCCAGCTCCCGGGGGGGGGGGGGCGCGGCCGCCTTCCTCGCGATGGCTGCCCCTTCATCCTCTGAGGCCCGGACCCCTAGCCCCGGGCTTCCCCCGTGGGCTCCGAATGGGGCGGGGAACCTCGGCTGCTCCGTGGGTCCCTCTCGGCCGACCGAGTCCGCTCCCAAGTGCCCGGGACGCGAGGGAGCTGTTCCGCGGGGCGGACGCGGGCGGTAAACACGCCGGGCCGCGCCCGCCTTCGGGGGGCGCTTTGGGCGCCTGCTCCCGGGGGCGCGGCCGGGGACCCGTGCGGGTCGGAGCCGGGCGCGGGAGGGGATCCGCGCCGGGACCGGGCAGTGCCTTTGGCTCAACTCGGTCCGACTTCCAGTGCAGCCTTCCTTTGGGACCAACCAGAACTTTTATTATTTGTAAACATGGATTTCGGACACTTTTTCTTCCCGAAGCCAGCCAATCAGTATGTGAAGAGTTTTAATAAAAGTTTGGGGAAAACCCTCAAGATATTTTTACAAAAGGAGAGAAACAGATTTGTGTGTGTGTGTGTGTTTAAAATATATTTTTATTGATTTCGGAGAGGAATGGAGAGATGGAAACATCAATGATGAGAGAGAATCATGGATCTGCTGCCTCCTGCACGCCTCCTACTGGGGATGGAGCCCAGAACCCGGGCATGTGCCCTTGACCGGAATGGAACCCGGGACCCTTCAGTCCGCAGGCCGATGCTCTCTATCCACTGAGCCAAACCGGCTAGGGCTGTTTGTTTTTTAGTTTTTGTGGGTTTTTTTTTTTTTTTTAAAGTAAGTAGTTCTTAGAGCAAAATGATTCCATCACATTTACCTTACTGTGAGGTTAGGATTCACAGTGAAAGCTGGATTGTATTCCTGGGGTTCATTCTCAGCTTTTATACTCAGTGAGGTTACTTGGAGAGTTTATTGCCTCAGGCATAAAGAACTAAAGGAAAAGCATTGTGCGCCGCCCCCCCCTTTTTTTTCTAATTCCCCTTTATTTTCAGAAGCAGCAGCTTACTCCATTTTTCTAAAACATGGGGTTGTCCAGATCAGGACAGATGCTGCTATTTTGGAAAGATGATTTCTGGTTGGTTGAGATAAGTCACTGTTGCAGTTCTTGTATTCCTCCCATCTTGTGTATTCCTTCCTGGTCTCCTAGGGATTTGCAGACTGCTTTAAGTCCTGGCCTTGTTGTCAAATTTTGAGTGCATGATTCTACTGGATTTGGTTCATTTAGCAAGCTTATCATGCGGTAATCTGTTTAAATCCTCTAGTTGGAACTGGTTTAAATGTTCAAATTCTTAGTGAGACCAACACCCCTTTGCCATCTGCAAAATTAAAAAGAAAATCTTGGAGAAATAGTTGTGTGCGCTGTGAATTTGCTTTGATTGATTTCTCATGCCAAGTGAGTAACTTAGAGAAGCGTTCTGGGTTTTTCTGGTTGGTTTGCCTCATTTTGCTTTAAGAAATCAACTTTCTTCACCTGACGAGGCTAAAGAAAAATGCCCTCATGATGCGGCAGCATTGTGCTTTTTTTCTTAAATGCTTATATCAAGTACAATGCATATAAACAAAAAATAAGCATTGTACTTTTAAACGACAGTAATAAACCACGACAAGGTGTAGGTTTGGAGTGCGTGCCTGTGTCGGGGGATTGTGGGGCGGGAGGTTGTCAGGGAGGAACAAAACGCAAACAAACACGATTACAACATAATGTGACAAGTAGGCCAGTTGCTTTCCTTCTCAGCTGTGATAGCCTGTTGGACGGACTTTTGTTTTAGGGTTCCTCACACATCGTTTATTTGCCTGACTAATGCTAGCTATGTATACGGAGTGTAGATGGACTCCACCCCTAGCTTGACTCCTGGGGGCTTGTGATGCGCCTGAATTCACTTTATACCCTCTTTGCCAGGAAGGAGTCTTAAAGCACATGCAGGTGTTCAGTATGTGTTTGAATTGGCCGAAGGGCTTTGTATTCAGTGGTGGTTGGGCCCATAGAACCACTAACTCTGGGGGCTTGTCCAGAGTGACAGTTCACTTCCAGATCTCTGATGGGATTTATTTATTTATTTTTAAATCTTCACCCAAGGGTATTTTTTTTTCCATTGACTTTTTCAGAGAAAGTGGGGTGGCGGGGGGAGGGAGATAGAGAGAGATAGAGAGAGAGAGATGAGAGAGGCACATCCATGATGGTTGCCTTCCGCACGCTCCCTAACGGGATCGAGCCTGCAACTGAAGTAGGTGCCCTGGACCAGGAATCGAACCTGAGTCCCTTTGTCCTCCGGCTGAGGCTCTAACCATTGAGCAACCGGCCACGACAGGAATTTAGTTTACTTTGAAAGAGTTTCTAATTTTTCTTTTTAATCTGTTAATTCTTGAAAACAAGTGAGGCTTAAATAGTGCACTGTGGATTTCCAAAAGTAGTTCCGATTTAGAAAATGTTCTCCCTTTTTTTTTTGGTGCAACGATTGATTAATTCACACTCTGCCTACTTCCCTGTTGTGAAATGGGGAGGTAGCACAGTTGAGAAGAAGACATTCTTGGAAGCTTGGGTTTCCTACTGTGGAAGGTGTACTGGCATGCTTTCAGTATTTTTTAGGGATAAGTGAAATTGTGTGCCTAACATCAAGTAGGTGCCTAATACTTTTGCTACATTTTGTATGACTTAAAAATGTATTTTAGCCCTGACCGGTATGGCTCAGTGGATAGAGCGTCGGCCTGCGGACTGAAGGGTCCCAGGTTCGATTCCGGTCAAGGGCATGTACCTTGGTTGTGGGCACATCCCCAGTAGGGGGTGTGCAGGAGGCAGCTGATCGATGTTTCTAACTCTCTATCCCTCTCCCTTCCTCTCTGCAAAAAAATCAATAAAATATATTTTTAAAAAATTGTATTTTAAAAAGTTCTGATGCTAATGAGTATAGGAGTTTAGATACTTCTGTCATAAGGAATCCTTCTGATAATCTAGTCTTAATCAAATGTAATTTTTTAAGGTGGTAGTTGAACTGAATGTTAATAGAAACAGCTTTTACTTTCTCAATCACTTGATTTGAGTGGAACCTGCAGAGTGGCTTGGTTGGGTAGAACTCTGGATTTATAGTGTTTAGGAAATCGATTGTTTTCAACATTTGTAATAGTTATTTGGACAGTTCCGGCTTTTCTTCCTTATTTTACATTAGTTTTGAAAAGTGATAGATAAGGATTTTTACTGCATTTCTCAAACTTGCTTAAGATAGAACTGGACTGGGGGTTAATGTAGTGTTAGTACAATTCAGAGACATGAACAAATCATTCACTTCTCCCTTCAAGATAACTTTCGTTGTTGTTAATCCTCACACGGGTTATTTTTTCCATTGATTTTTAGAAAGTGGGAAGGAGTGGGAAAGTGGGAAGGAGAGATGAGAGAGACACACCCATTGATTGCCTCCTGCACGTGCCCAAGTTACTGTGAAATCACAGGAACTGACATTGGATGCCAGTGCTTGAAGTCAGGCGAAACCACAATAAACAGTGAGCACAGAATGTCAGACTATTTCAAAAGAGTACAAAGGAAGGTAGTGTAGTTGTCTCAGCTTTACTCATTTTCTTAAGTTATTGTTGTTTTTAACTGGGTTTACTCAAATCAAGGGAGTGTGCCCCTTCGGTGCCAGTTATTATACTTTGTGTCTTACCTACATTTCTTATTTAATTATGAATCAGTTTAGGATGAGGGAATAGACCCAAAAGTGATTAGGCAGCGGTCACATTAAACTAAGCTATTAATTAAACTATGATCCCAAAATTGGAACTCCAATTATGCTGAGTCCAAAGGCAATGCTTTTCACATCATCAATACTGTCAGCTTGAAGGAGTACCTTTGAAAAGTAAATCATGTTTATTGAGATAGTATTTGTATGCCCATTATAAGTAGATAGAGTTTGATTCATTTTTCAAACGTATCCATGCATGGAACAGCACAACCAAGAGAACGTTTCTATCACTCTAGAAAGTTCCCTTGTGCCACTGTCCAGGCAGTTTCTCCCCACAGCCCTCACCCCATTGCCCACCTTACCACGGGCAACCACTATTCTACTTTCTGTCACTGTAGTTTTAGGATAAACTGTATCCTCAGACTATCAGACGGACACAGGCCAAATCTGGCCTACTGCCTGTTTTTAATGTTGGTTTGTTTGTATGTGTGTTTTTTTTAAAATATATATTTTTTAATTGATTTCAGAGAGGAAGGGAGCGGGAGAGAGAGATAGAAACATCAGTGATGAGAGAGAATCACTGATCAGCTGCCTCCTGCGTGCCCCCCATTGGGGATCGGGCCCACAACCGGGCATGTGTCCTGACCGGGAATCGAACAGCGACCTGGTTCATAGGTCGACACTCAACCACTGAGCCACGCTGGCTGGGCGTTGGGTCATTCTTTGCCTGCCCTCATAGATTTTTTCCAATATGCATGCATAATTTACTCTTCACTGTCTGACTCCAGGAGGCCTCTGCTCTGATTTCTGAGGGTCCTTCATGGAACTCTCTCCTTTCTGGTACCCTGCAGCTTTTAGATTCCTCAGTCTTCCAAACTCTTATGTCTGAATCCCAACCCGACCAGACTGCCGTGTGCTGCATGGGATTCTTCTCACTGTACCAAGGTCCAGGATGTGCCTTCTCCAGGCTGAGAAAGCTGCTCTAATCGTGGGGCTCATCCCTTCTGTTCCCTTCTATTAGGGATCGCAGTCCTGTTCTGCC